CCACCACCACCGACACCACCGCCACCACCACCCCTCCTCAGATTAGATTAGCATGATTTCTACGAGAAGAGGTCCTGACTTACAAACCTCCCACACCACTCGGACGTTGGCCAAAGCATTGTACGTGAGACATCCATTTGCTGTTATTTATGGGAGAACTGCCGTATGCTCCCGCGATCACGGTGTGTTACCGAAGTCTCTTCCTTTCAAACCGACTTTGCCGAATGAGACCGGGAGATTTCTTGCGCGCAAATACGGATGGCGTAATTTGAGTGCTGTAGTATCTGACGTCCGCAATCGCCTCCGCAAATTTGAAGTAAAATTTACTGACCTAAGAAATCAGTGTGCTTCAGCGCTACCTAAGAACTTATTCGAGGATGTGCAGCAAAGAATCAACGCCACCACCAACGATGCAAGATTGAAGAAGTGACTGGATCTCCAGGAGAATCTCCAATCACTTCTCCGTCCTATGAACGAAGTGAATTTGACCACGAAAGTTGTCAACCTATCGAAGAGGAGTCTCTCACCGGCGGAAATCACCCTCCTATCAAAGGGAATAGGATTTAATCATACGGATGCCGCACCTATTGACTTCCTTACTGGGCTTGAGTCCATTCTACTGGCCTCCAACCCTCCGGAAGACGTGCGCGCGAACATGCAAAGCTGCGCCATCGGTATTCTCCGGCAAAAAAGATACCAACAAAATCTACCGGCCGAAGAAGCGCAAGGATTACGATCATTGAAGTTGGATCACAGTATTGTCGTTGTTCCCGCTGACAAGCGTGGCGCTACTGTCATAATGGACAAAATTGAATACAAGCATGTACAGCAGGATTTATTTGGGCCAACAAATTTCGTGACGGCTTTTCAACTGCAACCCGTCTCTGCATAACATAGGTAACGAATGAACGCGCACAGCAGTATGAATTTGTATTTCTTTTAAAATCAACCGCGTAAAACGGTAAATGTGCAAAAAATCCTTGAAGCATTCGTAGCAGACGATTTAAGCATAACGACGCAATGTTTCAAGGTCGAAGTGCTGGCAGCGTCATTAACAAGGCGAATGAAATTTTCAGTGACATGGAGGCCTTTACCCTTCTCGCCGAAGACCCGACGAAAAAGCAAGCCGCAGCCATCAAAAAGAAGGTTAATGAGCTCGCTCGTCTGAATGTTATCAGTCCAGATGACTTCAAGAGGATGATGCTCAGTGATCCTCATATTGCACACGCGTATGGCCTCCCAAATGTGCACAAAGTCGATGTTCCGCTGAGGATTATAGTGCCACTCATCGGACCACCCACTTACAATATAGCTAAGTGGTTATACGATCATCTGAAGCGGCTCACTCATGGATCGGACTACAGCATTAACAGCTCTCAAGCATTCCTCCGCAGGATACAAGACCTCAAAGTAAGTACTGATGAATGCTTCCTGTCCTTTGACTTCGGTGCCTTGTTTTCTTCCATACAACACGATTTGGCAATTTAATGCGTAACCCAATGCCTACAGAACAATCCTATTGAGATGCCAACGCAGCATGTTATCGAACTGCTAAACCTTTGCCTTAGGAACTATTGTCAATTCGATAATAAGTACTACCAACAGGTAAAGGGAACGCCGATGGGCTTACCCATATCAGAACTGCTCGCCGAGCTAGTGTTGCAGCGACTAGAAGAGGTAGTTTTCCAAACTATCAAGCCAACACTATGGCTTCGCTACGTTGATGACACCTTTGTCATAAGAAGGACCTGCGAGGTCGAACGGCTTCACCACAGACTTAATGACGTCTTCCCAGCCATACAGTTTACCCGCGAAGAGGCAATTGGAGACAGCTTGCCGTTTCTGGACATGAGGATACAGAAGTTGAGCGATGGTAGCCTAGCAACAAGCGTCCATAGGAAAGGCTCTAATTCTGAGATTATCCTGAACTATGGAATCAACCACCCTGCAGCTCACAAAAGAAGCTGCGTCCGAACTCTGTTCCACCGGGCCTACCGTTATTGCAACAGCAACGATCTCCTGAACAAAGAGCTTGCTCACCTGTATCGGTTATTCCGCTCTAACGGTTCAGCTTTGTAAAAAACTGCCTCAGGCACCAGACACACTCGCAAGACCCCACCCCCAACGGAGAGATTGTGACGCGAAAATTCTACTCCTTGCCATATATGCGTGGAACTTCTGAAATAATCGCCCGGCAGTTCAACCGCTTGGGTATTCACGTTGCCCACAAACCGGCATGTTCACTACGCGCAGCACTATCTCGAGTGAAGGATCCATCGCGTGCGCTAATTGCTCTTGCGTGTATGTTGGCCATACGGGTCGACGCATGGGCACCCGTATCTATGACCACAAATTAGCCATCCGTCGGCGAGACCCCCTGTCCCTCATCGTTGCCCATGCCATCTAGTTCGACCACCGATTTAATTGGGATAGCACTGAGGTCGTCGCCATGACAAACGCAAAGCGTGCGAGGGAATTCCTCAAGGTCTGGTACTCCAGTGCGGGTAGTATCAACCGCAATGTTGACTTAGGTGCCTATTACGAGGGTCTACGTTCACGACTGACTGGCCCCTGCCCTAATCACGCATCAACGACCGTGGATACAGCCGCCCGCATTCCGACAGATCCACCACCCACCCTCCCCCTCCAGCACGGTGTGCCGTAGTTGTTCCGCCTTCTCTTCCTCCCCCCTCATTCAGGGACCTACCATGACCTCGGCAGCCCCTCCCCCTCACACGTCAGTGGTCTTTCTGTCCTATCACACCAACTGGTCTACTGTGACAACCTAACTTTCTCCCATGTTTTCACTTCGTCTGACGACTGGTTGGTGTCACCAGCTCGAAAATTCACGAGTACAACTCGACATTTCCGAAGAACGTCTTCTATTTTTCATTATATCCACTCGGAATGCATACCACCTCTGATCTACAGTGCAACAGGATGTGGAACGGCTGCAGAGATTGAGTGAGTTCTGATGCACGAAATCCAATGTCGACATTTCAGTGTGGCAGTGTCCGCGAGACGAATGAGAATTATACATTCATGGGAGTATTTCTTTTAAAATCAACCGCGTAAAACGGTAAATGTGCAAAAAATCCTTGAAGCATTCGTAGCAGACGATTTAAGCATAACGACGCAATGTTTCAAGGTCGAAGTGCTGGCAGCGTCAACTACAAGGATAATACGGAGAGCGTCTGGAGAATTGGATGCGGATATGTTCGTTGAGTTATACGCAGCATTTTTGCTGCCACACCTGACATATGCGGTATGAGCTACGTCTTCGGATAAAAATAGATATTCTCGATGGCGTACGACATGCTACCAAGCTTGTTCATGAACTCAATAATTTGATGAAGTGACGACGTCTGACCGCGTTAAACCTCTACACCCTCCACCATAGACAAGACGGAGCTGACCTTATACTAACGTTTCCGTTGAAAAATCTTTTCTAAATGGCATTGAAACGGATAATCGTAGGCGTGATTGCCAACTCAAAATGGAACTGTGCCGGACCAATCAACTCTCCTTATTTTTCTTGCAAAGAGTCATTAGACATTGGAATCCATTACCGCCGGCAACTATTTCCAATTTCTCGATTTTATGGTGCTAAGTGCTCCTTACTCATTTTCTATCACACAATATAGCCGCTTGTAGAGATAGACTGTTGTGGCATCCTTGAGATCCTCTGAGGCTTCTCCTTGACGTCACATCTCTTGAAAAAGCACCGTCAGGTGTTCCATAAGTTGGGGCCACCGTGCTTGTAGATCTCAGTAGGGATCGCGTTCGATCTGGATGCTTTCCCGCAGGGAAGCCGCTGCACGGCCCTCATGGTTTCGTGGAGAGAAGGCGAGAGGTCGAGGTCGGCATTGGTCTCCACTTGAGGCAGACGGGCGATGGCGGCGTCGAAGTTGGTAGAGAGACGGTTGAGGAGGCCTCTGAAGTGCTCATTCCATCGCTGCAGAATTTGAGCCTTCTCATTTAGTAGGGTAGTTCCGACGACGCTAAGAGGAGCGGTTCCTTTGACTGGGGATCGTAGACAGCCTTGGTCGCGGGGAAGAAGTTCTTCCATTGATTGCAGTCCGCGTACCCTTCGATGTCCTCAGCCTTGCGAGCCATCCAGACGTCCTGGATCCCCCTCAGCCGCTGTTTCACAAGGCGGCGATTACAGTAGAAGGCTGCATTGCTGTTGTCGGTAGGGCGGTTGACGTAGGCTTTGTGTGGACGGTTCTTATCGGCGAGCATGCTGCTTATGGCGGTGGTATTGCCATCAAACCAGTCCTGGTGTTGGCGACTTGCGCGGTTGAGGAGAGCCAAGCCGATTGATTGGACTGTGTCCTTAATTGGCACCATTTATTCTCCACGGAGACGTCCTCGTCGGCAGCGGCGTCGATGTGTGCTCTCATACGGCACATATTTTCCGCAAATGTGTCCTAAACATTCGACCGTCATGTCATTGGCCTTCTGTCTTCCTCCCACCTTATGTCATCATTTATAAAGCCGCGGTGGATGATGCATTTTCTTCCATCATGGACTTCGTGAGGTGCCCGATGTATTGGGCAGAGCAGTTTTCCATGACGTCAATCGGGCAACCACGCCAGCTTTCCTCAACAGACCGCGTCCCGCCAGCTCAAATATATGAACTTGCATTGCCCTTATGTATTTTCCTGAACCGCAAACTGTGCCTGCTGGATGTAGTCGAACTGGCCCAAATTTGGAATTCGTTGGGTATCTTTTGCTTTTTTAAGGAGATTGAAGCAATGTTTTCCCGGAATAAATTTGAACAAGGCAAAGGCGACAAAGCATGCAGAATTTACTGACGTCATAAATTTTGAGACCTCTCATTCAGCTGCACACGGTCATTGGACGAAACCCTGTTCCCATGTGCGCCCTCTCATTTCGCCCCCACCTGCCCCCCTCTCCCCGGCATGACTGAATGCTCCCCGCACGTTGCACTCTAGATCACGCCGCACAGGTTCTCACTGTAGTCCTTACTGTCATATTTGGATGACTTCTCTCCTCCTCCTCCCCCCCCCCTCGCCATATGCACCCGCATACTAAGCCCATTTTTCAGATTACCTATCACGTTTTATCTATCTAGGTCGATCGTTGATTGAACAGTTTGCCTGTCATATAACTATGCAATGACCGTGTGCAGCTGAATGAGATGTCTCGAAACGGTATAGAGAAGGACCCCATTAACTGTCCGTAGACTGTGGATCGTGTCATATCGGATTTTATCTTGGCATACATTTGCCGGCTGTTGCAGAAATTACACTACCAACGACGATTACTCCCCACGACGACGACGGAGTTCCTAGGAAGTGACTTCTTCTCAGAAGAGACAGAGATCAAAGGGGCTGGGGAGGCGAAGGGAGGAATAATCAAGTGCGGCACAGACGATTGACAGGCGAAATGAAGTTCGAAGAAGATGTGGACTACCATTAGTGCGAAAATGGGGATGAAAGTCAGCTTCCTGTATCCGTCTCCATAGACATTTCAGGTCACTTAGCTGGCATCTTTGCAAGTAGGAAGTATCTGGGTGTTTCGGGTATTACGAATCTCTAATAAAATGTTTTGGGACATTTTCACTCTTAGAACGGCCTGTATTGTTCAATAAACCAAACAATGGGTGGCCATAGGTATGAATAGGCGGATCAAACATGTGATGAAGTCTTTGTTTAATTTTGGAAAGGTAAATTGTAACCGGCAATTATGTATACTAGGATAATGCGTACGCCACATCAGAATGCAAACGGAGCTGAGTTCTCTGTGTGGTATTATTCACGAATAAGCAAAAATAAACAAAAGTACATAACTCGAACACAACAGACGAGGCAGTCGAATTCCAGCGCCTGACCCCGGCGACTGCAAAGTATAGATTTGCAAGCATGAGCTGCACGCGTGTACAGGGACGGTTTAGAATGACGGGGGTGGCTCTTAGTCTCAAGGTCAATGTCGGCTAATCGCTCGGAGAAACAAGTCCGGTTCAGGTGGACAAGTAAAACGTGTAATACGGTCATTTAAGAGTTTACAGAGAACAGGCGTGGAGAGTCTCAAAACTTGTTCCACAGAAGATGACTCTGACTGTCAATTCTGCGCGTAGTGTTTGAGTCGGGCTCTTCTATCAAAGCTGCGTTCAGCTCTTCTAGTATACACTCCCAGCTCCAGACGTAAATGGTCCTAGTCTACTTCTGCCGCAAGCACCGTCCTCGGTAGTGCGTTTTTACTGCCGATCATCTGGTAAGCAAATCCTCCTAAAGCCCCTCTTCTTAACGCCGTTTGCCGTACTAACTTTTAAGGTCCCTACCGAACCATCACGACTTTCTTCGCATTTATCAATCACCCCTGCAGGCCACTTTTCGTGAGGCAGTAGTTCGCCAGATCTAACGAAAATGTCACCTGGGTTCAGCTCCTGAACACCCGATATTGGAGTGTCAGGAGGTAATCTGCCGTCCCGCATCGCCAAAAGACGCCAGTCAGATGGTACCGCCATGATGCAGCATAACCCAATCATCAATGCTGGCCACAGTCATGCGTTTTAGCCTCAATAATAAATTGTTCGGATTTAGGGGCTCCAGATCATTACTATTCGATGTCGGTGTTTGATATGCATCTAGTCTGTTCACGGTTTAATCAGAATTCGTCGTACTGACCTGATCGCACGCTCCCATATACCTCCATGATGGCTAGCAGCGGATGGGTTAAGATGGCTCAACAGAAGAACTCCGGTTTCAATGTTTAACCTGTCCCGACGCATCTTGCGTTCATGATTCAGCGTCAAAGCGGCGTCCGACATGTTTAATTTGGAAATGAGACTGTCGTCGATCTGCTAACTCGCACCTCTGAAACCAGCTTATAGTTCTTATTCCCATATACTGCCTACTCATATCGCTTAGGTAGAAATGTTAGGTTAATCTTCAAATTGCATAAGAATGCAAAAGAAACTATGCGCAAGGCGTCTCAACCCTGAACTAAGTTAGGAACTCTGAAATTAGTCTCAACTCTGAATCAGAACTTTAGCTTACATATGGTCCTCACCTTATTGCTTCTCTAACCGAATTATTTCCGCTAAAAGCTAAACCCCGACTCTAAAACTAAATCTCAGGCAATTTTTAACCTTAATCGTAATATTTCTCTTAGTCCTAAACCTAAATCTAACCCGAGGCGTGGTTTTAACTCAATCCTTTCACTTACCACAACCTTACATGGACCTCTACCTGCCGGCACCAATGTAACTATCACACGTATCCCTACCTCTCTACCCTTTGCTTAAACACTAACCTCACACGCCACCGTAACCCTAGCTTTAACCATAGATCGCTCGCAAATCTTACGTCTCTACATGACGCAGTTGCGAGGGCTTTGGCTCACCATTGAGTCCGCCAGCATTTTCCACGTGCTTTCTGGTATATAACCACCAGAAAATGTTCTACCTTGTTCTACCTTGTTCCGAGGAAATCAATGTGCGACCTTGGAGTAAATCTTCAAGGATAAAGGTTTTTAGGCTCTGTTTGAAAGTTTATATACAAATATTCAAGCCGAAATCCATCAGCATGAGGACTGCGGTTCATGCACCAGAAAGCACATGGGAACGCCGAGGAACGCGCTGATAAGCCGAAACCCTCGCAGCTATGTCATGCAGCAGCACAAGACTTGCGAAACACGCGTTCCTGGGTTTTTAGCCAGTTCCAAGGCGTTTAATTAGGAGATGAGACAGTCGTCGAGCCGCCTAACTCGCACCTCTGAGGCTAGCTTCTAGCTCTTATTCCCATATACTGCCTACTTATTTCATTCAGGTAGAAATGTTAGGCTAAATTTCACATCACAAAAGAACGTGAAAGAAGCTATGCGCAGTTCCCCTGCTGTCACTACGATAGACCTATTAGTATATGTTGTTCTTAGTACTGAGGCGCGTGCCGAGACAAGGTGGTATGCAGAAATGGGACGGTTGTATCAAAATAATGAAAAAAGAGCAGAAGGGGCGGGTTGCAGGTGGAGGTGCGCAGGCCACCGGATGAAGTAGAACGCCGGGTGGGGAGGGGCCACTGATGAGCCGAACTCCTTGCAGCTACGTGATGCAACGGCTCAAGGTCGGCAAAACACACGTGTTTGAGCTTTTAGCTAATACCTATGTTGTCACTGTGATAAACTACTTATTATTCGTATACTACTGACTGCCTGCCCACAGACGGCGCATATTACGTGGCTGTTCCGCAGAAGCTGATGGATTTCAGCTCAAAAATTCATTGGTAAACTTCCAAGCAAAGTAAAAAAAAGCTTTGTCCTGGAGGGTTGGTCCCAAGTTCGCGCACTAATTTCCTCGGAAATTAAAGAGGACAATTTACTACCACATCCGTACTTTATGCACAGCGACTTGCTACCCGTCAGTTGACGCTATCGGTTAACCTCCGGTTGTTAACGTTCTCAAATTTGTTCATGTCTTTCATAGCGGCCATCACGACAGATAATTTCTCCTAAAATCTGACGGGTCATTACGGACTGGGATCGGTTCGCCCGAGATTGTCAGTCTATGCCCTCTCTGTTTGTCTTTTAAAGCCGTCTATTATCCCCTAATTTCAGATCTTTCGAATCGCGCGACCGTTTTTTGCCTCTGAGCATTTAACTAAGAAAACTGGGCAAATACATTGTATTCGTTAAATTTCCTTAGAAATTAACGGCGAACTTGGAGCATATCAGTATATTCAAGGTCTATAGGGTCAGACCTAAGTATTCATGTATGAATATTTGGGCCGAAGTCCATCAGCCACTGCGGATAACCGCAAAATATTCATGAACTGCTGACAGGCAACTAGTAGTATACTTTAGGGTAAGGTGATTCCATACTAACAGCACAGGTACTAGCCAGAAGCAAACGGAACTATTGCGAAGGATGTGAGTACACACTTTCCCCTCCTTCCATCCTAGTTACCTCCGAGGCTAGAGGCCGTGCCAGCACAATAGTCGCCAGTATCGTACTTGTTGCTAGTTTCCGAATTTTTTGACTCTTCAGTAAGCTTCTCGTAGGTGTCCAGTATACGAGCAGCCTTTTATTTACATTTCTACGGGCTCCGTGAAACACGACTTACTTCTCTTTGGGCATGATCAACCCAAGCAGTGGGCAGTTCAGCGCGCTTTCGTGTCTCGACGGTCTCTTCTTCACCTTCGACCAATGACTATTCGATCGCGGCCAATTTTGTGACATAAATTGCGGCTGTGTTCACAGGCTACTTTTCTGCCCGGACAGTTCAGGTTTACCCCTGACGTTTGATACTTTCAGACGTTTGACACAGGTTTTCTGAATCTGTCTCATAGCTCAATGATCTGATCGCCCAGAGGAGCATTCATCCCTT